ACCCCAGCCAAATGCTCTGCCTGTCGCAGTCGCACGCTCACACGGACACACACACACACACACACACACACACACACACACACACACAGCGCCTCCCGGATAAGCCAGCACTCGCCGAAACCTATGCGCCCTCCTCAGCTGTTTGCAAATGAGCGCTCGCAACCCACCCAAACCAACGTCGCCGGAACCCGAGAGCACCCCCCACCCCCACCCCCTGAGTCTCTGCTTGGGGCAACGGGCGCTTTCAGATGCACGGCGCTGCAGTGTCCCCCAAGCACGCACACAGGCACACGCCCATCCAGGCGCATGGACTCGGCCTCTCCCTTTCCCTTAAGGAAAGCCTGGTTCTCCGGGCACGGCGCAAAGATTCCAGCTCTGGCCACAGACTGGGCCGGAGGTAGAAGCCATGCGGAATAAATGAGGGAGCGCCACCCACCCTCGGGGCCTTGGGCTGCCCTGGCGTAGTGGCTGAGCCCCCGAATGCGCCCGCCGATCCCTCCTGAGCTCGGGAAGCCTTGCCCGAAGGCGCGGGGCGGGGAGGGAGTAGCCAGAGGCTCGTGGGACCTTAGCGTTTGTGAGGGTCAGAAGAGAGTTCATGAGATGTCAGTCCGGGCCCTCCGCGCCTCGATTTCTGTGGCAGGCAGAGTGCTCAGAGGCTGCACGGGCCAGAGCCGCCCCTACCCCGAGGAAGGCTGCCGGACCCGTGGAACGTGCCTGGGGGCTGTAGCTGACGCGGCGCAGGGCAGGGGCACTCCCTCCGGGACCTGGGTAACCACACCAGAAAGTGCTGCTCCCCAAGGGCTTCCTTCTGCACAGCGGGGATTTCTCTCTGCGCCCAAGGTACTGAGCTCGCTTTGGATGTAATCAGGGACATCGAAGCGGCCTTTACTAGAAGGCCCTCCCTCCCAAAGCCCTGCAAATACGAGGGGAGACTTCTGTGCCCCTCTCCCCATTTCCGACACGGGAAAGGGGCTGCTGAAGGACCCGGCGCAGCTGGAAGGCACTAAGCCTCTGCCCTCTACACCGCCTCTTCCACGACCTCTGCCCCCGGCTCTGGGTCTGGCAGAGCATGCACCCCGCTCCACAGAGCTCTGGGGACACTGAGAAATAGCTGGGCCGCCTGGCGTGTCGAGGAAAGGGCGGGTGGACGAAAAGGTCCCGAAGGCCCCAGACCCTAGAGCCCAAGCTTCCTCACCTCCACGAAGTTATCAGGGGCGCTGCGTTCAGGAGAAGCTGGCGGGGAGTGCAGGAGGAGTTGGGTTGGGGTCCCAGAGGCCCAAACATGTGAATTTGGGAGGACTCTGAATCCTTGGGGTTGAGCGCTGGAAAGCTGGCAGCCTTTCCAGAGACTCTATGTCACTAGGACCTTTTTGATATGTTTGGACCGACAGCCCTGAGGGCACAATCCCTGGTTGTGCCTTGCTCTCCAAAGAGGAGTGCTGGGTGGCCCACAACCCCAGAAGAAATCCTGTTTGGGGGAAAGTAGGCTGAAATTTCTATAAAGGCCACAGAGACTAGGAACCCTGCCCTCTGACAAGTAAGAGTGCGCCTCCAACCCAGAGACCCATCTGAACACAAATACACCTGATTCTAGGCTTTGAATATCTTCTTGGGTGCTGATGCACCCAGAATTATTTGACCTAATCTTCTTCCACTAGTGCGCATAGTAGGTGCACAGCAAATGTGCGGAAAGAGGGGATGAATGAATGAACAGTTCCATGGGTTCATTACAGTAAGAGTCAGCAGTAAATTTGCAGCCAAGTTGAGCTGGGCTGCAGACTCAATTTAGATTCATTAGATGGAAGAGCAAATAGTTGATCCAAAGATTTTTTTTATCTATTTAATAAAAGGAATTTATGTCCTGGTGAAAACTTTCTGGAATTTAATAGGAGAGGAAGTACCAAGAGATTCTTTTCTCTTCTTTAGCAACTTGAAAAGCAAAACAGGGCAGTTTTCCTCAACCCATCCTTGTATTATATTAGTGAGTGATGGAAGAAAAAGTCAATAAAATAATTTACTTTCTAACCCGAGAAAATTACATTTTGATTTCCCTGGAACTGTTCAGAGCTTCAAGGCATCCCCAATCAAAATAGCATAAGAATTTACAGAGAATAGTTTCCCAGGAATATCTTTCCCTTTTGAATAATCTCAAATACTTTGATGCTGGGTTTAACTATTTAATGTAACTACTTTTAAATTTTGAAAATGGTAATCTTAAATTTTTAGAAAAAAACAGATTCCAGGCACTACAGCTTTTGAAGTTTATTTTTATTTACTTTAACTTACTGTGTTTTCTTTACAAATTTCCTAAGAGAAATATTGCTTAGGGGAAACTTTCATTCATTCAAACAAATATTTATTGAAGACCTACTGTGTGCCAAACATCATTGTTCTAGGCACTAGCAGTTCACAGTAAACAAAACAAAACCCTCCTGTGCTCTTACTGCTTAAATTACCATGATGTTTTTAACAGGAGTCCTTTTATATCACACTATACCCAAATAAAACACATCCCTATCCTATTCACACCCTCTCAATATAGTCATATCATCTATTTGTTTGTCAAATAGATATTCAGAGTTTACATTATTTTTTTGCCACCACCTTTATCCACCCCCTCCCCCCATACCCTTCTCCACCTCCACCTCCCCCAACCCACTGGCAATCACTACACTGTTATGGGTGAGTTCTTTCTCTCTTTTATTTCTTTTTTGGTCAATCCCTCCACCCCTCAGAGCTGTCAGTCTGCTCTCTGTGAGACCGTCTCTATTTTGCTTGTTCAGTTTGTTCATTAGATTCCACATATGAGTGAAATCATAATGTATTTGTCTTTCTCTGACTTAGCTTATTTAAACATAGTTTAAATGGTAAATAAAATACAGCAAAAAAGGTATTTTTTGTTTAAAGACGGAAAAAAGGGTAAAATTTTATTTTTTATTACAGCCGAGTCGTATTCCATTGTGTAAAATGTGCCATAGCTGCTTTATCCATTCATCTACTGATGGACACTTGGGCTGCTTCCAAATTTGGGCTATTGTAAATAATGCCGCAATGAACATAGGGATGCATACATTCTTTCGAATTAGTGTTTCTGATTTCTTCAGATAAATTCCCAGAAGTAGAATCACTGGATCATAAGGCAGCTTCATTTTTAGTTTTTTGAGATATCTCCATTCTGCTTTCCACAGTGACTGCACCAATCTGCATTCCCACCACCAGTGCGGGAGGGTTCCTCTTTCTCCACATCCTCACCAGCACTGTTGTTTGTTGATTTATTGATGATAACCATTCTGACAGGTGTCAGGCAGATATCTCATTGTGGTTTTCATTTGCATTTCTCTGATGATTAGTGACATTGAGCCTCTTTTCGTATGTCTATTAAAGTCCTTTGCCCATTTTTAAATTGGATTGTTCAGGGCTTTTTAGGATGTTGTTTTATAAGTTTTTTATAAATTTTGGATATTAACCCCTTATCAGATGTATCGGCCAATATGTTCTCCCATTCACTATTTGTTGATGATTTCCTTTGCTGTGCAAAACCTTTTTAGTTTGATGTAGTCCCGTTTGTTCAGGGTTTACATTATTAAGATCATGTAAGTATTATTCCCAGTTGAGCCACAAAGTATACTTTGATTGCATTTTCTTGTACATTTGTTTTATTTTTTTGTTAGTAATTCCTTCTCTTTTCATTTGCTTCATTTCCTTTCTGCCTATCACTGGTTTATTCCTTTTTCTAGATTTTATTTGTTCCTCATTCTTGCTTTACTCTCTCACTTCAGTGGAGTACATTCACCATTACATGACAGATAGATTTCTGGAAATTAAATTCATGGTTGAACATATTTTCACTCCGAATTTTAAAAGTATTCTCCATTGTCTTCTATATCAAGTGTGACTGTAAGAAATCCATTTCCCTTTGTTCTTAATCTGGCATAGGATCTCTGTCTGTCTTTCTATCTCTCTCCCTCTCTTCTTTCAGAATCTTCTCACTGGTGTTCTAAAATACCATGATGAGGTGACTTGGTGTGGACTATTTTTTATTTATTGTTCTGCACATTG